GCAGGACCCAAATTTCAGTATTGAGTTTATTTAATAAAACAACTCATAAGAGCTTTTTTGCTGCTTGGGACCTTTGCCAGTGCATAAGCAGTTACTGGTGTCTGCCATGTATCCAGGTTTCCAAAGACTTTACCTAGCTAGAAAAAAAACTTTGTGACACTCACAGTTCTTATATTTACATCTTGTTCAATAAACAATAAAAAGAATAGAAGAATCAAGAAGCTTATTAACTGATTAAATCTAAGAAAGTAATGATAGAGAAATCAAACTGTGCTTTCCATCATTATCTTTACCTATGCTAGCTAACTGGTAAGGCAAGAAAGAAAAGATTTAAGAACTTTTTAAAAATCCCAGATCTTAATCATAGCTCAACAGAGGATGCTTTCTTTGCAGCAGTCATGATTCCTTGGCCAAGACCATGTTTATTTTTTACTCTTTTGTGACCACTCCTGGAAATCAATGTCTAATAGATGCTATTTAAAACTTAATGCACCCTGGCAAAACCTCTTATTTTAATAACAGCTGTGATTTCACATGTGTCCACAGATATAGACAGTCATTCACATATCTGCAGCCCTGTGAAGATCCAAAGCTGAAGCTACAGTATTTCATATTCATTTCACAGTGAGTTGGGTTAAAGAAATGTGGGTTTCTCTAGCTCTGTCACGTAATTTCCACAATGACAGCATCCTGGTCCTCTTTAGCTTGGCCCTAACAGTCCTATGCATCTTTATGATTTTATATCTATCTATCTATCTATCTATCTATCTATCTATCTATCTATCTACCTATCTACCTACCTACCTATGTGTGTGTGTTTGTGTATATATATGTATGTGTGTGTCTATATATATATATTCAGCAAATGTGAATGCCTCTGGAATTTGAGAAAAGGTTTTAATTTTGAGCTAGGAACTCAGCAGTTTAGCGTTGTAGTCTCCTAATTACAGTCTTGGCCATCGAGTAGGCTTGGTAGGGAGGTAGATATGACCAGACTTTTAGGTTACCTCTCCTGAGGTGTTCAGCTCAACTGTCAGTTTGGTAAAAGAGCCTTTTCAAGTAAGAAATTTTTGTAAAACATCTTTATTTCATTAGTGGCTGATTGCCCCAAACTCATTCTGTTGCACTGGTTGAAGTTTTTTAGACTGTTTTCTCTCTCTGGGTTTCCTAGAAGCCCTCATGCTCTTCTCTGTAGCCCACTATTTGTTTCCTCCTTTAAAAAATCATAGAATCATAGAATGACTTGGGTTGAAAGGGACCTTTAAAGGTCATCTAGTCCAATCCCCCTACAGTGAGCAGGGACATCTTCAACTAGATCAGGTTGCTCAGAGCCTGCAATGCTCTTTCCGAGTTCACTGCACCCTCTTCTCCCCTTATGTTAGTCCTGTTCATTCTCTATACCACTTTTAACTTGCTTCTGCCAAGGTGCATTTTGATGCAGACAAATGCAGTCTCATGATCCTGTGTTCATCTAATCCCATAGTTCACCCATCTTGAATCCTGGGTCCTTGTGCTCAAACATCTTTGAAATTTTAAGTGACATTTGCAGCAGTACAAGTGATCCAGTCTTTGGCTGTAAATCTGGTCACCTTCCTGACTTTACTGCTCTACCTCATGGGGAACCACACCAGTAGAAATAGCCCAGTCAAATCCAATAAGGAGATTTAATTAGAAAAGCTTATGTGTGGGCTGACTGACAGAAAGGTCAGGAGACTTTAGCCTTGGTGATACTGAGAGACCAAGTCTGCTCCCACGTATAATTCTTAGGAAGAAAAATACATTCTCAGACTATTTAGGTCATTGTGCTTTAAGCTGAAATACCAAAGACTTCAGTGATCTGGTAGTGAAACAATGCAGAGAAGCATGCTGACTAGAGCTGTGCTTTCCTCCTCCTGCTGGAAAGAGCTGTAATTTATTGAAAATTAAACATCCTTTGAAACTGCCTTATGAACACACACACACAGACAAACCAAGTTAATGCTAATTTAGTTATTTAATCTAAACTTTTTGAAAGACAAGCCATCAGAACCTTTTTATATAGGGAGCTGAATTATGTTGCATTTTAAAGCTCGAATATCTAACCTACAGCATTTTATATGATTCCTTCCCACAGGAGATATTAGAGAACATAAAAAAATGTAGAGCATTAGAAAGATTTTACCATGCAGAGTTGGAAAGAAAACAACTGACTAAATGGCAATGCTGGAATGTTAGTTGTTTTCACAAGTACTTGACACATACAGCTGGAACATCACAGTTGTTTTCCTGCTATTGCAGGCACTCACATCATATAATTCCCTTGGCTAAATTTAACGACTCAGCCTTCCACCATAGCACCATCACAACCAATGCTCTGTATTATATGAAAGGCTCATATTCTCTCTAACTTTCTCCAGCTACAGTATATAGCAGTGGTTTACACAGTAGTAATTACAGATTTATGGACCGTTGCTCCTCTCTATAGAAGCTAAAAAAATAAACACTATCACAAAGCCATAGATCCTCCACATGGTTCTCATTTGGTCTTTGAAACATAGACACTCACCTAGCAGGGATTTTATATAAGTTTCAGGTGGTGAGAGAATTTGGATAATAGGAAGTGCGGTAGTCAGTGCTTTCAACTTTTCCTATTTCCATGACGTTAATCTGGCCCAAAGCTGAGAGGTCACTAGTTCCTGCCCCTGCAGATGTGAATCCTCTAGCAAGGCCTTTGGTCGGAATGATGTTACTCCCTCTCCTAGTTCTCCAGCTGCCCAAGAAAGACCCTTTGATTCCAGCAGTGACTAAAACTCAGTGAACTTCAGCTGAGAGGTGATGTGCCGTCAAGGAGAATTAAAACAGTTTTGCATCAGGTTTCCTGCCAAATTTACTTACTCTTTAGGAGGCTGGCGATATGACTGGGTGTGGAAAATGCCACGTTTCACAGCACAGATTTTGAGTAATTACAAAAGCTGTTCTTTTGTTGTTTTAAGGAGACCTCCTTTCCCTTCCTGTTGTTATTCCTCATGTATTCTGCTATTATGGTATGAGAGGCAATGTCTCAGTAGTTTATCTTGGCAGCTTCCTACGCAATCACTCTATAGGGAGGCTAGTGAGAAAAAGTCAATGAAACTGTATCTCATAGGCCACTGTATCAAAGTCAGACAGGACTGGATATTTTTAAACATTACAACTGGTTTTCAAAGCTGACTAAGGAATTCTGTAAGTCAGATTCCACTAACCTGTAGGGAATTCAGAAGCCCGGTTCCCATTATGGCTTTGGAAACCCCACCCAACATCTGCGCAATGGTCAGTGCTCATTTAGAGTCTTGGCCCTTTCATAATGAGCGGATGTCCACATTGAAAAGCACCATTTCAATTGGCAGCAGTTCATTGACTTGTGAAGGGAGAATTTATCTTTTTTCTTAGCTTCCCTGGTGAAGATTGAGATTTTTAGTAAGAAAGATCAAAAAAAGTTCAACTATTATTTTTGTTTCATAATAACAGCTGGCCAGTTTTCAGGGGCAGCTAGAACATTTCATGATCATTATTCATTATTAGTATATATGTACTCTCTCACGGCACATACAGCTATTTTGCAACAATATAAAAGAAGACAGTTTAGAGCAGCACTGAAGGTTGTGATCTGGTCTGCATGTGTCAGGCAGTTAAAGTGAAATGAAAGCCCAAGCTGAAGAGCAAAGAGGCTCACTGTTTCTTCTTAGTTCAGCTCCCACAGATTGACACATCATGTGCAGAGAGCACATAATATAGAATTTCCTTTCCACAGCAAAACAAATTGAGTCCCCCTGGGCTAAAGGGCTAAAAATCAAACCTGGTCAAAAATTCAGACCAAATTAAAAAAAAAAAAAAAAGAAAAAGAAGAAATGGTTTTGTAAAGAACTTTAAGATTGTTGTCACCCTGCAGGAGTCAGATTAACTAATTTTTGGGGGCTTTTTTACGGGGAGAGGGAAGAAAAATAAAACCAATAAACCATTAACATCAGGAAGATTATGGTTTTGATTTTAAGCCTCTCATAAAAGAATTACATTATGCAATCATAATTGCTCAAATACATCAATTTTAAATAAAA